TGTCACATGCACACATACCCAGTAAGGATCGCACCCTCTCACAGGGATAAGGAGGCAGAGGCCCTTTCCTTCCAAGGTTCCTTTCAAAGGAGTGGCTCTCAGGTCCTAAAAAAGATGTTTTTGAGGGGTAGATGTTCAGCACACACACACACCTCAAAGGGACAGAGGAAGGACTCACAATTGTCAGCCTTCTTTAGTAAATGACCTGAAGAAGGAGGTTGGGGCCCAGAGTCATGTGTTGACTATGAAATACTACAAATTATTTTCAGTCTCAAATTTTTCCAGGACTGGATGGAGGACAGGCAGTGTGTAGCAGACACAGTTGTGCCCTTTGCCCACACTGCTGTTGGCAGTGTTTTTAAAGAGCTGACTGACCATGGGGGTCAACCAAACATTGATCCACTGTGAAGCAAGAAATGTCAAGGCCCTCCTTCTAGAATCTTCTGAAAACCACTGAAGAGAGAAATCGTATGAAAACTTCTTTGAACCCATGTGACCACAGCAGTGTTTCAAACTCTTAAAAATGTGAGCCACTATCTAAAACCACATACTATTTCTTATTCTACTGTTTCTTCAAATGTTTTTCACAGTCCACCAAATTGACTTCATTACCTCATCCCACATCTGAAAGACACAAGGCTGGAGGATGCTGACTGGGGCAAAGATGGAGGGGTGACCAGAGAGGGGTGTGGCTACCTTTTGGTGTCACATGTCCAACAGCACCACTGAAAAACAAGAGGGACAAACTTGATTGCACAGAGAAGTCTGTGAGTCTGACCTTAGATAAACAAGGTTTTGTGGGCAAAATTCTATTCTTTCATAATGAAAATGAAGTAATAGGAACATCTATTGAGTAATTTCCCAGAAACATAAGACAGAGCCAAAAATAGTCAAAGAGAGTTAGGCCAGTGAGGAAACTAGTCCACATGGAAATGACGCCATTTTTAATTATCAAAGGGCATGTTGAGAGAATGTTCCATTTATACAAAAGGTAGAAGCCATCTTTGGTTCCCTTTTGTTCAACATTGTTGAGTCCTAAAGAGACGTTAGTGAGAGGAGAAGATGGGTCTTTG